CAGAGTGCGGGGACTAAAGGCATGTGCAACCACCACGAACCAGTTTATTTTCATTTTCTATTTGTTTTCTTTTGAGACAGGGTCTTCCTGTAGCCCTAGCTGGCCTAGAACTCACTATATAGACGGGGCTGGCCTTGGACTCACAGAGATCCACCTGCCTTTGCCTCCCGAGTGCTGGGATTAAAGGCATGCACCACAAGGCCTGGTACGGGTCACTTACTTTTTAATACCTGCTTCTCAGCTTTATTGCACATCTCTTTGAGCACAATGAGAAAATAACACACCAAAAAGTCTGTTTTGAAGCCCCACAGCTGTGCTAAGGTCAGGATGGGTGTGTACATGAACTGCCTTTAGAGCGGTCTGAAACTGTGGTCAGTATAGAACCAGTATTTCAGTGGTCCAGTGCTCCAACTGACTTAGAAGATGGAATAAAATTGCTTATTGTCAGCTGGGTATGGTGACACATGCTTCTAATCCCAGAACTCAGGAGGCAGAGGCAGGCAGATCTCTGTGAGCTCAAAGCCAGCCTGGTTTATATAGTGAGTTCCAGGTCAGCTGGGACTACAGGGAGACCATCTCAAAAAGAACACACAAAAAAAGAGAACCCCACCATAAAACCAAAAAATCCCCCACATTTTTATTGTTGTTGTCAAATGAGCTAGAACCACAGCATTCTGGGATATTTTTAAAGAATCTTATTACATGTTTGCTGACTGAATGGAATCTATGGAACCCTATGAAACTGGGTTTACCCTGAAGCTTTCCAAATGCATTTCAAAATGGAACATCTTTCTTAATGGAAGAATCACAAATTCTGGTTTAGATACCAGTAGTTCAGGTCTTCCAAGGAGCAGATACTGAGATAACATAAGAGCACAGAGGCGATCAGTTTGGGAAAACACGGGGAAGGACAGAGTGCAAAGAGCAGGAGACAAGAAGGACCTTCAGACCAGGCCTTAGGCCGGATGCCTGTGACCAAGTGAAGACATGAAGAGGAGTTGAGAAGGAAAGGTCTTCCAAGTGGTTTCTTCTAGGTGATGAGGTGGGATTGGGGGCAGGGAGTGTCTTCTATCCAAGTTTTCCAGAGGAGCCCCATGTCTTTCAGAAAGGAACCTGCATGAATTCATTTGCTTGGTTGTGGTCAGCTGGGAGCAGTCCATTGGAAGTGTGACCTCAGTGTGATGCAGTGGTGGGTTCAGAGGCACTATAGCTAGGCTGTTAGTCAACTCCCTGCAGCCGGAGATCCGGCAGACATTCATGATCCCCATCCTTTCCAGTTATGTTCCTTGTTAGAGTGATTCATTCAAGACTTTTCGAACCTCAACAGTCACTCTGTCCCTTGGGAGACTTGTCTTTTCTACTTTGTATAGCTGTTGTGACACCTATTCACAAATAAAAGCTCTTTATAACCTCTGGAGCATCTTAGAACTGTAGGGGATTATTATAGGTTGGCAGGCATCAGTTGCTAGAATGGCATTGTGCTCCTTGACCCCAGTGCTCCATCTTCTCCTTGTTTGGATCTCCCATAGGTCTAGTAGAGTGCTGTGCATTTAATAGGCACTCTGTGACTGTTTGTTGACTTGTGAAAACAAGCTTTGTGAGCTCTCCAAGGAAATGGACCATGACTAAGGCTGTGTGTGGGGTCATGATGGAGACACTAAGGTGCCTCCCCTGTTGTGGGGGCAGAGCGTCGGGAAGATGTGTGTGGCTTCTGTCAGAAGAATCTTACTCATACCTGTATGGCAGCCACTCTGTGGTGGGGGCATTATTTTTATCAGAATGAGTGGCGAAGTCAGTGGAGAGTCATCAACTTTACTTTGTAATGTATCTCCCTTTTGTGTTTCAGAAAGGATTTTGAAGCTAATTGTATGGGCAATTCATATATCAGTAATTGTACGGTGTCACTGGACCCCACTGAAGTTTGCGTTCCAGAATTGTTTACACGATTGAATGCTTTGAGTTTTGCTAGTTCATCCTTTCTCCTCTCTGGGGAGATCTAGTCAGGGTTAAACACAGGGAAAGAAGGAGAACAGAGGGTGAGGGTGCTTTGCAGCTGGGTAATTTCTCAGAGTTGAGGGTAGCTCCTTGTCCGGCTACTGAAAGGAGGTATAGTTGTCTGTTTTTCCCTTGACATTTCTTTGTACCAGCTCAGCATTTTACACAATTCATGTCTATGGAATGAACTAAGGAATGAATCACATGTGTTTACTCTATGATGGATACTGGGGATTCCTAGGGGAAGCAACTCATGTCCTAAGGGAGCTTTTCTACTAATGATGATGGTGTACACTAGTGGGGAAAAAAATCACATAAAATATAATTACAAAGCTAGGCATGTCAGTGCTCATCTGTGATCCTAATGGGAAGGGTAAGGCAGGTGGATCATGAGTTGCAGGCCAGCTTGAGCTACATAGTGAGATCTTGCCTCAAAAAATAAATAAAACTAATAAAAATAAACTCACAGACTATAATGAAGAAAAGAAAAGGTACTGGGTCCCAGACAGAGCTTGCAGATGTGTCTAATCTGTGACCTGTGAGCCAAATGTGTCCCAGAATGGCTATAAATGTTGTCTAATACAAAATCATAAACCTATCTAAAATACTATGAAGATATTCTTGCCATGTTTTGGTAACTTGGTTGTGCAGCTCTCAAGTTTGACCTTTGTAGATGACAATGTTGTGTCACAATGTCAAAAGGTTAGACATGCTTGAAAGTCTTAGAATCAGAGTGTTTGCTAAGCCCAGGGTCAGGGGTGGGGAGGTTGTCAGGGAAGGCCTTTCTGAGGAAGGATGTGATGGTGTTGCCGGGCACAGAGAGCTGTGCAGAGACCTGAAAGGAGAGGGTGTCCTGGCCACCAATAAGGAAAGTGTGTGGCCCAGCAGAGAACAGTGTGTTTGACCAGCATGAGAAGAAGCCATAGCCCAGTTCATTTGGTATTTTCCTATGAGTTGCCACTGCTGATCATTTATTACTGACGGTCCATTGTGCTGATTTCACCCCTGCATAGTTTCTGTTGATATGCTGTGGGCTTGTATCAGGATCCAGCCCCATTCTTCAAAAAGAAAACTGAATTTGAATCCTAGCAAGAGGGTTTTAAGCTGTGGATGGGAATGTCTTTGGGTCTCTGGGGCTTTGGAGCTCTGATAAGAGATGCTGTGGGATTGTCTTTTGAGAATTTAAAGAAGAGATCAGACAAGAGGAGGAGACGTGGGTCCCTTGAGAGGGCCCTGGATAAGCGGGAAGCCCAGATTGCTTTACCTGCAGTCATCCATCGCCCATCTGCAGTGTATGAGACTTAGATGCAGTTATCTTTATCAAGTCTGCCTTGAGCAAAAGCAAGATGGGGCATGCATGAAGAAACCTGTGAACCCCTGAGCCAAAGTCTCCTCTTTGGCATGCTTTTTCCCCTATGTAGAGTGGGCAGGGAGGGTTTGTTCACAGGGGTGTAGAATGAGACTCCCTGTGATCTTTTGTCTAACCGGTGAGCTCTGCCCAGCCCTGGTTCAGACTGGGGTTCCTCCTCCTCTGGTCCCTGTTCCTCAGAGATTCTTACCATTGCTGGCCTGCAGGTGTTAGCCTTCTGACCCTCACTACCAGGCCCTCTTCAGCTCCTGCATCATGAATGAAACTAAGAAGCACTTGGCGAAAGAAGCAAAGACCCTTGTCTTTCCTATGGTGCCAACAGGAAATGCTAGAGGAACAAGGGTGGGCATATTTACTTCCTGGGCTGCTGAGTAGAGAACCACAAACATGGCTGATCAGAACAGTGACATTTGCCCTCTTGCAGTTCTAGAGACCAGAAGCCTCCAATCAAGGTGTCAGCAGCATCATCTTCCCTTCCTTGCCTCCTCCAGCTTCTGGTGGCTCTGGCATCCCTTGGTGTGCACACACTCCTCTGTTGTCTGTACCTTTTATACTTCTTATAAGAACACTTGTCACTGGTTTTAGGGCCTACTGGGTAATCTAGGCTGATCTCATTTTGAGATCCTTAACTTAATTACATCTACAAAGACTCTTTTTGAAAGTAAAGATGCAATCACGAATTTTGTAATGTGCAAGTACATTTTGGGGGGGGACACCTTTCAACTTACTACATGTGGGACCTCAGGGGCGTTGGACCCACTCTAGTGCCTTCCTTTGATTTTGCCTTTTGTTCTTTCTGATAAACCTGACTTGTTAAAGTGGCATCAGATCACAGGCCCTGGTGAAATGTTATGAAGTGGAGCAGACTGGGGCCACAAACACAGGCTCCTGGGTCAGGTGGCCTTAGATCAAAGCCCAGTACTCACCAGTCTCTTGGTGGCTTAGTTTGCCATCTGTACACTGGGCACAATGACAACAGCAGCTCTGAAGACTGCTGCAGGACTTAGTTAGGATGACACTCAAAGGCAGCTAAAGCTGGCCATAAGAAGAGTGCTCAGCAATGGTATTATCTGTCATTGCCTGCTGTTTGTTATTGCTATTTGAACAGTGAAAATGTCCATGTGAGCAGGGGATGGTGAACTTGATTAAATATCCAAGTCTGATAGCTGGATGGCAGCTGGACACAAAGCTCTGTCATGGTCTGGAGCTAGGTTCTTTTTTGGTTTGCTTGTTTGTTTGTTCGGTGCTGGGGGTGGAACTCAGGGCCTCACACATGCTAGGCAAGCATCCCACCACTGATCTACATCCCCAGCCATCTTTTGAGTCTTGATCTACCTGTGGTTTTCTGACTTGGCATAAAATGCACAGACAGCCCCTCCTCCTGGGATCTGCTCTAGGTTTCTGTATTTGCTGATCAGATCCTTGGACTCTGCAGCCAAGCCAAGCACAGCAATTCCAAACAGAGATAGGGTGCTGCCAGGCAGGCAGGTACACACAGAGAGCACTTCTGGGGAAGTGACCCACCCAAAGGGAGGGGGAAGCTAGTGCCTCAGACCCGGGTCACTGGTTCCCAAGAAGAGCTTTTCTACTTCCAGGACAGGTGCCAGGAGCTCTCTCCTCAGGGCATATCTCCTGGTCCAGGGAGCCAGTGAGCGTGGGCTTCTGTGCCTACCCAGGAGTTTGGAGGTCAAGGTGAGTGCAGAAAGTTCTGCTCTTCACCAAGCTCTGCCCTTCTCCTTGGGCACAGCCTGAACTGCTGCAGGTCCTCAGAGATGCTGTTCTTCTGCTTGTCCTCAGAGATCCCGGTCATCGAGGGTGAGGTTGAGTGTGTGTGTCAGATGGCTGTGTGACAATAGGCAAATTTCTTAACCTCTCTGAGCTGTGGCCCTCTGAGTTTGGTGAGGTTTGCATGATATCTAACTCATAGTGAGTGCTTGAAAAAATGATGGCTCCGATTCATATTTGGGAGGGAAGTAGGAGCAGAGGTCAGATGGGATGGGGCTGCTTGCTCTGCTACTGTGATAGTGGGATTTGAAGGCAGATGCCTGGCCTTTTGCTTTTAAAAATATTTATATTTTCTGTGTGACAGCATTTCATTATGTAGCCCAGGCTGGTCTTAAACTTATCCCCCCGCCTCAGCTTCCCAAGTGCTGGAATGATGGGCTGGTATCACCATACATGATTTTTTAAAGATTCCTAGTCTTTTATAAATCAATTTCCTCATCAGAAAGAGAGACTGAACACCTGGCTATTGAGAAGATTAAGTGATATGCTCAATTCAATAGTGTCTACTGCAACTGTCTCAGAGTAGTTTGGACAATGAGAATAAAATAAATTGATATATTTAGCATAGTATGCATTGCAAAATAAAGAACTGTATGCTGGCTCAATCTCAGAATGGTCCAGAAGGAGAATCATTCAGCCAGAAACAAGAAAGTGCAGTTCCATTTCCAGCTCAAACAATTTGTAGCTGGGTCACTCTGAACTTGGACACATCATTCGGCTTCTCTGAGCCTCGGTTTTCTTGACAAGAAATAAGAATAATAGTATCTATAATAATAATAATAATAGTTTCTTTTATGTGCCATGACCTGTTCTGAGTGTTTTATACATATAAACTCACTTTATTTTCAGAATTCTGAGAGGTGGGTGCTATTTGGTATCCATGACAAAATGAAGACACAGAGAGGTTATGCCATTTGCTCCAGGTCACACAGACCATAAGTAGAGGTCAAAGTTAGACCAAGGCCTGACTCTTACCCAATATGCTGTGGAATTCTACCAGCCTCCCTCTCTCCCAGGGTTCAACACATTGCTTCGTGCTCAGAGGAGGATGGATATCATAGGAATAGGATGTGCAGTCTCTGATAATTGTACTCAGGGTCTTGGTCCCATCCTTGTCCTTGGTTTGCTTATGTGGCATGCACCTCTTTGTAGTTGGGATTTTAAGTAGGTGTAGAAAGCTATGCATTGCATTTGTGTATGAGTGCAGTATTCCTGGTCTCCTTCCTGATTTCACCCCCTTAATACTTTGGGGGACAGTGAAACATTCCTCATTGTACCATTTTGGAGTTTAAGGTCATTATCAACAACAAGTTTTTTTCTGAGCCTCCTGGGCTCAAGGCTGGGACTCCACAGGACTTTAGACTTTCCTCTTTGAAGTGTTTTTAAGATGAGCCTGGAAGGGACAGGACTAGGATTATCTATGACTTTGGGATTTGGTACATTTGACCCTGAACTAAGGTTTAAAGTCCAAGCACAGTTATTCCTGAAGAAGCAAGCAGGCCGGTGAGAAGCTCCTCCCTTCAAAGAGGCACAAACCACAGCATCTGTTCAAGTAAATTGAAAGATTCTGAGCAGAACCCTTGAGAACTACTTGTCTATATGGGAAGTGGGGTTGGGGAGGAGATATCACAGTCTCCTGTTGTTCCAGGGACGCTGAGAATCTCATAGAAGTCTCACTCAGGATAAGTGGGCCTATATATCCTCTGCAAGCCTGCAGAGCGCTGTCTGGTGGCACAGTGGGTGGATGAGCCCTTTGGCTTTGTTTCTTTCCTCAAAGGCCATCAGTGGAAGTTGGAGTGCCAAATTTCTGGGTGGATTTTGTTTTCTTTGAGTCATTTCTGGGGTATGGATGACTGGCTGCTGTTTGTGAGTAATTGCATTGCACTGGGTCTGTTTGAAGGATTTAGAGTGCCTCACTTGACTGTACTAATTAAAGTTTTACACTTGGATCTAATCAGCTTGAGTGAAGTGAACTTTCCCTCCTCTTGGTTGCAAAAGTGATTAAGGAGCTCAAATATGCAAAGGAAGTCAGGTTGTATTTGATGCACCATAACATTCATCTTCAACATTGAACTTGAATAACGTTGTGCTTTGAGCAAATGTGAATCTTTAAAAAATTCTTCTCTTGTAATTATGGAGAGAGGTAACTTGACTCTTAGTTTTAGCTCCTTAGAGCATTATATGTAAGGAACTGGGGTTCCAAAGCAAAGCTCTGTTGAAGAAATACGTTGGTTTTTGAGTGAATGGGGCAAAGCAGAGCTCCTGGCCTGGGTTTGGAGTGGAAGCGTGTGACAGCTGTATTTGCTGAGGTATTAGCATCCTGGCAGGTAAACCCAGGGTGTATAGCTATCTAGCCATGTGAGCTCCTTCAATAAACAGGTTTATGCCCTTGGACAGGCTCCTCCTCTTCTACCATTGTTTAGTGACTAGGTGGGTCTTGGTTGGTGGTTTTTCAAACATAAAATCTTAAATTTACTCATACAATATTCAAAGTTTTAAATATATAAAATAGGTTAAAATGGTGGAGGCCGGGGGAGGCTAGAGAAATGGCTCAGTGGTTAGGAGTATGGACTGTTCTTATAGAGGATCTGAGTTTGGTTCTGCATTGGGCGACTCGTAATCACCTGTAGCTCTGGCTCCAGGAATCTGATACTCTTTTCAGGCCTCCTTGGCAACTGCATTCACACATGCACGTATCCCCACACAGACACACGTGCATACAAATATTTAGAAATTAAAAATGATTTTTTTTTGTTTTTTTTTTTGGTCTTTTTGAGACAGGGTCTCCCTGTAGCCCCAGCTGTCCTGGAACTCACTATGTAGACCAGGCTGGCCTTGAACTCAGAGATATGCCTGCCTCTGCCATATTAAAAAAATGAATATTTTAAAATGATAAAATGCATGCTTTCAGATTGAAGGAGGAGGAGGAAGAGGATGGCCAGATCAAGCTACCTGGCCACCTGCTTGGTGTCCGTTTCCCCTTCCCAGCCTTTAACTTCTGGGTAGACATGTCAGCTTCAGACTATCTGGAATTTGACTTCTAATTTCTACTTTAGCTCAACCTCTTTAGTCATTCTCCAAAAGATATATGTAGGAATTTCTTTTATGTAATCTCTTCTTGGTCAGTCACATAGTTCTTTTATTGTTAATTCTGAGCTGTTCTTTTGTTAGAAGAAGAGTAAAAAGGGTCATGACCTACCCCTTGTATATTTGGGGGTTATTGGTGGTCACTCATTCATCATGTGGAAAGGATATCAGTTCTTTTTCATTGAAGTCCATGATACAATGGCTGACTGTCCCCTGAGAGAATCTTAGATAATTGATTAAATGAACACCTCTTCAATCCTGTCTTAGTCTTTGGCTGTCATAGCAAAATATCTGAAATCAAGTAACTTTGGTCTACTTGTGTGTTTTTCTGGGTCTTGTTTATGTCACCTAATATAATCATCTCCCAGTCCATCCATTTTTATACAAATGTAATGATTTCATTCGTTTTAAATGACTTTAATTTTTTGAGAATCTCACATGAGTATAACACATTTTGATCATATCCACCCCTCCCCTTCCAACTCCTCCCATGCCTACCCAGCAACTTCCTTTCAAATTCATGACCTTTTCTTTTAATATATATAATATATATAATGACATTTTCTT